CCGAACCCCCTCACAATATTAAAAAATACCCCTGACACCCACAAAAATCCAACAAACTAGGGAGGAAGCAACAAAAACCAATGGCACTTCATTAACAAATAATTCCTGATATTTAAGTACTATATTGAATACTGAGTTAATAGGCTATTTTTGATGCTATTTTTCATTGAAGATCTATAGTAAATGTTTAACGTTGTCAACATCAATTTTATTACCTTTTCTTGAGAACAGGTAGCTATCAGAAAAATTATACTTAAAGAGTAAACAAAGAGGGTGAGGATATAAAAGATTATAAAGAAATGCAAACCACTCAAGAGCTAATTAGAATTCTTTCCCATTCCACTCGCAAAGATCCATGTTAATTTTTTTTTTTTTATCCATGTTAATTTTTTTTTTTTTTTTTGCTACAGGCTGCATGTGCTAGCCAGAGAGACAAAAAATGAGAAATCACCCCCTGGGGGGATGGCTTTGCCGCAATTCCTTTTCTTCCATTCTCTTCTTGGGATTTTGGGCATGCATGCACACATGCCTGGCATGAGTTTCAAGCTTCTCGGTCTAGGACTCGAACTGTGGTTGGCCACATAGGAGTCCAGCAACATAACCATTACACCATCCGGTGGTCCCTTGAGTACCTTTAATACATGACATTTTCCAATTACCATAAAATGCTGTCCTATTTCATTTGCATCCCAATCACAGTCCCATTGTTTCTGCACAGGCTGAAGTCTCAGAAGATCAAGAGGACGCAATTTCTGAGTGCAAGGCTCCCGGAAGCCTCATTGATCTGACGTGCACATGGTCTGCACAGACCCCACAGCGAGTGCTCAGAGGCTCCTGGGGGTCTCTCCTGGCTTTGGAAAGCCTCAGTTTACAGTCAAACACAGTGAGCACTTGGAATTGAGGTTGATCTAGTCTCACTTTCCACATTTCTTTCTAGCACTGTGTAAAGTAGTCCTGACATTTTATTTCCTTTCCCATATAAAATTCAATGTGGACTTGTTAAGAAATTTTTTAAATAGGAAAGAAAGCTTCCAAAGAAAATGTCAGAGAAATGAAAATAAAACTATGAATGATTTCTTTAAAAGAGATTGCCAAAAGACACTTAATATTGATATAGAACTTCCTACTTAAGAGCTAATTTAGGGGACCAGCAGGTGGCATGGTAGTTAAGGCTCTGTACACTCCCACATGGCTGACCATGGTTCAAGTCCTGAACTGGTGGCTTGCTTTCTCACTCCCCCTCCCCGTGTGTGTGTGTGTGTGTGTGTGTGTCTGGTTAAATTAAAATAAATGAATGAATAAGAAATTAAGTAATTCTTTTTATTTTTAAAAGAGCTAATTTAAATAGGCTTCAGATAGAAAACACGACTATACAAATTATTCCTAGGATTTCACTGGAAGATTATTTATGTTAAACAATGAGGAGGGTTTACATTTTATTCTATAATGGCATTTTCAAATTCGACTTCAAAATTCTGGATTTTAATTTTGAGAGAATTTTTTTTTTAAGGTTTTTGCCTTAGGGTGTGTGCACTTGCCAGAGAGAGACAGAGATAGTGAGAAGGAAAGTGAAAAATCATCCCCAGGGGTGATGGCCATATCACAGTCCCTTCTCCTCCTGAGATCTTGGGCATGCACACATAGGTGGTGTGATTTTCAAACTACCAGGTCTGGGATTTGATCCACCTGTTGGTCCCTGAACAGTTATATATGTATTTTTTTTTTGGTTTTGTTTTTAAGAGAGATTTTTGCCATAGGGCACGTATGCTCACCAGCCAGAGAAAGAGATAGAAAGTGAGAAATCACCCCTAGGGGGCAGGGGATGGCCACGCAGTAATCCTTTCTCCTTTTGGGATTTTGGACACTCATGCACATGCGCCTGGCATTAGTGTTAAGGTGCCAGGTCCGGGACTTGAACCAGTTAGGACTACATAGGAGTCCAGCGATATAGCTATTATGCCATTTGCTGGCCTCTGATAGTTAAGTTTTTTTTAAAGAATTATTTAACTTTATTTATTTGTTTACTTATTTTAATTTGACCAAAGAGGGACTGAGTGATTGAGTGAGTGTGAGTGAGAGAGAGAGAGAGAGAGAGAGAGAGAGAGAGAGAGAGAGAGAGAGAGAGAGAGAGAGAGAGAGAGAGAGAGGATGAGAAAGCAAGCCACCAGGTCCGAGACTCAAACAGTGGTCAGACATGTGAGAGTCCAGCGCCCTTAACCACCATACCACCTACTGGGTCCAGACAGTTAAATTTTTTAAAAGGTCATTTTTGTTTGAAATAATTGGAGTCAAAATGAACATCCTTCAGTCTATGATGTGAAAGGTATATTAATATAAGAATGCTGGGGCCAACAGGTGGCATGGAAGTGAAGGCAACTGGATCCCACATCGCCGATTGCACAGTTTGAGTCTTAGACCTGGTGGCTTGAAAACACGGTGGTAAATTTGTGTGCATGCCCAAAATCCCAAGAGGAGAATGGAGGAGAAGGGATTGCAAGACAGTCATACCCCTGGGACGATTTCTCACTTTTCTTTTCTCCCTGTGTCTCTTTCTGATGAGTACAAGTGCCCTATAGCAAATAAACAAAAAACTCTACTTCTCCCTTAGCGGGCTGTGCCTCTGAGTGCTGAGAGGCTCACGAGGCCTTCTTGTCTAGACACTCTTATCAGGGGGAAAGGGAGAATGCTCCAGCAAGCTCAAACAACATCCAACCAGCTACGTGGCTGCTAGAAGAGATGAATGGTAGCACATCCTTACAGTTATACAAGCCCCTCTCTCTGCTGCACATCTGCCAAGTAGCACAGAGAGTAAGGTCCATAGCTGTCCGCAACACACTATGGCTCGTGCCCTCAGCCAGGCAGAGAAGGCTGGGGTGGAGGAGGTGAACAAATCCAGTACTGCTAAGGTAAAGATGGGAACTTCTTTCTAGTAAATGAAAAGGCTAGAGGACGGGGGTCTCAACTATTTGTCTTTTTACTAGGAACATGGTATGTTCGCTTTAAAATCTAGTTTTTTGTTTTAATGAAAAAGACAGTGAACTAGTAACATGGTTGGAGTGGGGAAAGAGGAAGAAAGGAAACAGAAAGAAAGAGTGATTTTTGACAGGGTCTCACCATGTTGCAATCCTCCTGTGCCAGCCTCCCTGTCAGGAAAGACCATAGGCACGTGCTACCATGCCTGATTTAGACTAGGCTGGAACTGAACGCAGACCTCCCATGTGGCCTCAGCAAACATGCAGTAGAACCCTCCCCCTTGAGCCACCACAGCTGGGCCTGAATCCAGATTTCATAAAACTTTAGAATAATATGCTACACTTTGAACAAGCCATAAATACAATAAAGTAGAAGTTATGGTGTAAAGTTACAGTGGAATGCATTTTATGACTACCACTTATTCCACCCTGCTGATAATAACCAAATGATCAGAAGTTCTACTGTTCCACCAATAAAGATCTCAAGAAAATCTGGGCTAGAGAAAAAACTAAAGACAAACAGAAAAAGTAAAGCAATAGGGTTATCAAGTATTTTACAAAACCCTAGAGAAACAACATATTTAAACCAAAAGGAAGATAATGAAAAAGACATTTCTCACCTTTTGAAAGTTCTCCTTCCACAAATCTTCCATGACTATGTATCCTCGTAAACCCCAGTCATATAATTTCTCTCCACTGACCTTCAAACAAAATAGAAAAGATCTGTTGCTATTCCATACATGCTAGGTAAGGAAGAGGCATGTCTAGAATTTCCCCCCTTCTTTCCAAAAGAACTATATCTAACCAAATGACTACTATAGGAAGCCTTGGGATATACAAACAAAACTACATAACATAAACCAAAAGATAGTAATAATAGAGAAAAAAAGGGGGGGGGAGTCTTGTTGTATATAGTTACCTTTTAAAATAATCTGCTATAAATTACAGGCATATATCATAAACTTTCAAAATTTCAAGTTAAAAAAAAATAAGCAACCATTATTGCATGGGAGATTCCTGAAATACAGACACAGAAAGAAAGCATCTACCTGTCACATCTAGCACCCTGCCTGGCATATTACAGCCAACCAAATATTTTGCTAAATTGAAACTCATTCATCTATTTTAGAGGTTTAGATGAAAAGTAGGTTAAATCCAATGAAGATTTTCCCAGTTCTTCCAGGTACCGCAAAACATAAAGTCTTTGGGTTTCTATACAGATTTTGGAGGTAATGTGATCTAGAGTTGTTCCTCTAACATCCTGAGGCAGGTCCCAGGGTGAGGGAGCTCACAACCTTTTAAAATGTGCTTGTCTGGGCCAGCGGGTAGTGTGGTGGTAAAGGCACTAGATCTCCCATGGCTAACTGCTGGTGGCCTGAAAAACATGCTGGGTACATGTGTGTGCATACCTCAAATCCCAAAAGAACAGAGAAGGAACTGCAGTGTGGCCATCCCCCCCCCGCCCCCGTTGTAGCGTGCTTTCTCACTTTCTCCCTCTCCAGCAAGCACATATGCTCTGTAGGAAACTCTAAAAAAAAAAAAGTGCTTATCTAGCTTTGGCTAGCAGGCTTGAATTGCTGGAAACTTAAAAAAGTAAATAAATAAATACAGGTTGAGTATACTTTTAAAAATTTTTTTGGAGAGGTTTTTGCTATAGGGTGCGTGCGCTTGCCAGAAAGACAGAGAGAGAGGCAGAGAGACAGAAAGTGAGAAATCACCCCCCAGGGGGGATAGCCATGCTGCAATCCCTTCCCCTTCATTCTCCTCTTGGGATCTTGGGCATGCATGCACAGGCACCCGGCATGAGTTGAAGCCACCAGGGCCGGGACTTGAACCACGGTCAACTACATGGGAGTCCAGTGACATAGCCATTACGCCATCTGCTGGTCCCAAGGTTGAGTATACCTTATCCAAAATGTTTAGGACCAGAAGTATTCTTTTGTTTTGTTTTCTTTCAGAGTCTAGAATATTTGAATATGTATAATGAGATTATCTCAGGAACGGGACTCAAGTCTAAAAACAAAATTTATTTCATATACACCTTCATACAGCTGGAGGAGGGTCATTTTATATGTCATTTTTACATGCAGTGCTTTGACTACAACCTGTCACATTTAGTCAGGTATAAAGTTCTGGATGCACAAAAAGTTTCAGGGGAGCTGGATGGTGGCAGAGCAGTTAACACAATACTTGTTGAGACTGACCCACATGGGCAAGTTCTGTGTTCCCATCCAGAGACCTCCCTGAACACGCCAGCACACATGTACATGTGATCTGGAGCTGGTTGAATCTGAGAAGCAAAGTGGCATGAAGATCGTGTGTGGGTCCTAACCCCAGTCAGAATGGCTGTGATCAAAAAACAACAACAAAGAACAGTAAATGCTGGCAATGCTACAGAGAAAAGGGAACCCTTATGCACTACTGGTAGGAATGTGTTTAGTATAGCCCCTGTAGAAAACAAAGTGGAGGTTCTTCAAAAATCTAAAAATAGAACTCTTTACCCCAAAAGATAGGAAATCACGCAGTCAGGGAGAAATCTGAACATCCATGCTTATTTCAGCAAACACTAACTCATTCAATCAATCAAAGTACCAACAAGTGATGACTAGATTAAGAAAATATGGAATATATATTTAACAGAACACTGCTCAGCCACAAAGAACAATATCCTGTCATTTGACACAGAGGGGGTGATCCTAGACAATATAATGCTAAGTGAAATGAGTCAGGCTAAGGAAGACAAATACGGTATGTTCCTGCTTAACACTAAATGCCTGCACTCTATGGCAGAAACTGAAGGACTTTAGGACACAGAAGTAGAGAGAGCAAGGGTAGATACCAGAAGTTGTGTGGCAAAGGGTGTATGGGAGAAAATGAGCAACAGACCCAAGAATTAATATGAACAAGGGAATAGGTGATGGACTGGCATATGACAGCAAATAAAAAATGCTGTTGATTATTCAATATACACTCCCAAGAAACCCCCCAAAAAAACTAAGACAACTATTATCAAATGTGTACAACACACATAATGTTCAATGTTGAAAAAGGTGAATATGGGACCAGCAGATGGGGTAATGGCTACATCACTGGACTCCCATGTAGTTGACTGCCTGGACTTGGTGGCTTAAACTCATGCTGGGCATGTATGTGTGTGTGCACCCAGGATCCCAAGAGGAGAATAGAGGAGAAGGGATTGTGGCATGGCCATGCCCCCTGGGGGATGATTTCTCACTTTCTGTCTCTCTGTCTCTGTGTTTCTGGCGAGCACACGCACCCTATAGCAAAAACCTCTCCAAAAATAAAAAAAGAAGAAGAAAAGGTGAATATGTTTAAATGCATGACTTGATTCCCATACACTGTATACATGCTATGAAAAACCGCATTGTACCGCATAAAAACAATGAATAATAATAAAAAAAGACCCTGTGAGAGTACCTGTCTCTGTCACTGTCTCTCTTCCACTCACCCACTCATGGAAGAAATAAACAAACATTAAAAAAAAAGCTTCAGGGCCAGCCCATGGCACTGTGGTTAAGGGATCTGGATCCCAATTGACAGGCCATGGTTTGAATCCAGCCCTAGCAGCTTGAAAAACACACCAGGCAGACCAGCTGGTGGCATGGTGGTTAGGGCGGGTAGATCTCACATCCCAACTGTGTGGTTGTAGTCCCAGACCTGGCAACTTGAAAAACATCCTGGGTACATATACATGTGTGCCCAAAATCCCCAAAGGAGAGAGAAATGGAAGAGATTGTGGCATGGCAATCTCCCTTGGATATGCTTGCTTTCTCTCTCTCTCTCACTCACTTACTTACTCACTCTCTCTGGCAAGCATACATACCCTGTAGCAAATTAAACACATGCACAAACACAAAACAGGCACGTGTACAAGCACGTCCCAAATTCAGATGAGATGGAGAAACGGAGAAGGGATTTGGGCATGACCATGTCCCATTAGGGGGTGCTTTTTCCCTCCCTCCTTCTCTCTCTCCCCCTCTCTCTGTCTGTCTCTCAGAGGGTAACATGTACTCTGGCAATTTAAAACAAGTTTCAAGTTTTAGAGTGTTTTGGATTTTGAAAAGAAAAAAAGGGACCAGCAGGTGCTGTAGTAGTTAAGGCACTGGTCTCCCACGTGGTCCACCATGGTTTGAGTCAGGACCTGGCAACTTGAAACCCATGCTGGGCACATATGCATGCATGCCCAAAATCCCAAGAAGAGACTAGAGGAGAAGGGAATGTGGCGTGGCCCTCCCCCTTGAGGGGTGATTTCTTGCTTTCTATCTCACTGTCTCTCCAGCAAGTGCATGCACCCTATAGCAAAAATTTCTCAGGGAAAAAAAAAGAATTTTTGTATTAGGGATGCTCAACCTGTATTAAGCTTTCAAAAAAAAAAATGCTTCCAGTAATTCGCATTCACTGGTGCTACTTAAGACAAATAACGTCGATTACTCTTCATGTGAAAAAGTACCTTGAATTTCAGAAAGAAATTTCTATTCTTTCTAATTTTTACAATTATTCTTTGTATAGCATTTTGGTTCACAAAACACTCTCCTGTGAATTAGATCTACCCTGAATAACAACTCTGTGTGGTATGTAGACAAAAATTATAAAGAAACACTCAGAGGCCAAGGGATTCATTTAAGGTCACAGTGCTAGGAAATCTTTGCAACATGGTAATTTCCTACAAGTTATATTCTTCCAGTTGCTCCAACTGTTCTAGTCTTTTTTTAAAAAAAAATTTATTTTTAATTTTATTTATTCATTTATTTATTTTAATTTGACCAGAGAGAGACACAGAGAGAGAGAGAAAGTGAGAAAGCAAACCACCAGGTCTAGGACTTGAACCATGGTCAGCCATGTGGGAATGTCCAGCACCTTAACCACCACGCCACCTGCTGGTTCCCCCAACTGTTCTAGTCTAAGGTGGACAAGCACAATTTAAGGTCAAGAGCTCCCTGACCCTGGGGCCTGCCTCTCAGGATGCTGGAAGAACACGACAGGATTCTCAGACCTGTTGGGAAATGCACCAAGCATTTACAACCTGTGTGGCAGTGTTCCTGGTGGTTTACACTTCTGAGAGGAAAATCATAGTCTCCATCAATTGAAGGGTTTCCTATAGTACTTTCAGTTAAATACTACTGAACAGAAAACAACAACTAAGTGGCCCATCCAAGACTACTCATTAAAAATTTTTGAAACTGAAATAGGAATTAAATAACTCTGAAACATATCAGAAAAATGTCTAATCACTAATAATTAATATTTGTTTCATTTAGTTTTATAGTGGCAAACTACACATAACATAAAGTTTACCATTTCAACCATTTTTAGGTATACAGTTAAATAGCAGTATGTTCACAATATCATATATCACATCTGTTCTCAGAACTTTTCCATCATCCCCAGAAATCACTAATGTTTTATATCTAATAAAAATAGTTAAGGGGACCAGCAGATGGTGAAATGGTTACATCGTTGGACTCCCACGTAGTCGACTGTGGTTTGAGTCCCAGACCCAGATGCTTCAAACTCACGCTGGGCATGTATATATACGTGTCCAAAATCTCAAGAGGAGAATGGAAGAGAAGGGATTGCAGCATGGCTATCCCCACTGGGGGGTGATTTCTTGCTTTCTGTCTTTCTGTCTCTCTCTGTCTCTCAAGCAAGCGCATGTACCCTATAGCAAAACTCTCTCTCTTAAAAAAAAAAAAAATGGGACCAGCAGTTTGCATAATGGTTATGTCGCTGGATTCCCATGTAATCGACCACGGTTCGAGTCCCGGACCTGGTGGCTTCAACTCACGCCGGGTGTGTGTGTGTGCTTAAGATCCTGAGAGTAGAATGGAAGAGAAGAGATTATGGTGTGGCCATCCCCCCAGGGGGTCATTTCTTGCTTTCTGTCTGTCTTTCTGGTGAGTGCAAACGCCATGTAGCAAAAACCTCTCCAAAATAAATAAATAAAGTTCATTGTGGCCACCAGGTGGTATGGAGGTTAAGGAACTGGATCCCACACGGCCAACTCCATGGTTAGAGTCTCAGGTCCGGTGGCTTGAAAAACACACCAGGCATGTGGTACATGTGTGCCCAAAATCCCAAGAAGACAATGGAGTAGAGGAGATCATGGCATGGCCATCCCCACTTGGAGGTAACTTCTCACTTTCCCTCTCTCTACCTACCTCTCTAAGGTGAGTGCACACACCCTATGGCAAAAATGAAAATAAATAAATAAGAGTTAACTTTTTTTGTTCTGGTTAATTTTAGATCCAAAATTAAAGACCAAATTCCTTCCCAGTGACTTTAAAAATAAATAAGAACACAAGGCAGATTTGCATCCTACTGTCCTGGTTGTGAATACAAAAGATGTTTTGCAATATTCGCTGAGGCCTATGGGACAAAACCAGAACCCCATTCTGAGGGCAGCCACATATGCTTCTCGACCAGCAGCCTAGCTTGTTCTACTTGCCTGCCCAGTTACCACTTAAACCGTCATAGGCTAGATGATGTTTAATTAATTTTATTATCTAGGACAGGCAGACATTACTCACTGTTTCAATCTGTGGCTGGAGCTGTGACAAAACCATTAACTGTCTGCCTCCAGGACTGTTAGAAGCAATGTCAAGCCCTAGTAGAAAGATCTTACTGGCATTTGCCATCAAAGTCATCAATCTCCCGCACTTAGTGACCCTGAACTGTATACCCACCTACAACTGTAGCCCAATCCAGGAAATTAGGTCTCACTTCTATCATGGGGAATCCGGAGAGCACAGTATCAAGCTGATCTGCCTTGGCGCCCTTAAAGCTCACTTCTGGTGACTGCACTGTTGTCTCCTCCTAGAACTGAGTCTCCGTGCGACACATTAGTTTTGGCAACTCAATCCCTATCTTCAAAAGCTGTCCGGGGACCAGAGTTAGCGTAATGGCTATGTCGCTGAACTCTCATGTAGCTGACGGCGGTTCAAGTCCCAGACCTGGTGGCTTAAACTCACACTGGACACATGTGCAGGAGAATGGAGGAGAAGGGATTGTGGCATGGCCATCCCCCCTGGGAGGGGGTGATTTCTTGCTTTCTATCTCTCTGTCTCTCTCTGTCTTTCTGGCAAGCGCATGCCTCCATGAATGATACTTTCTCACCCACCATCCCCATCTCTTTCTGCAAACACGCACACCTTCTGGCAATTTTTCTTTTTAATTTTAAAAAAAAAAAAAAAAATGGGACCAGCAGTTTGCATAATGGTTATGTCGCTGGATTCCCATGTAATCGACCACGGTTCGAGTCCCGGACCTGGTGGCTTCAACTCACGCCGGGTGTGTGTGTGTGCTTAAGATCCTGAGAGTAGAATGGAAGAGAAGAGATTATGGTGTGGCCATCCCCCCAGGGGGTCATTTCTTGCTTTCTGTCTGTCTTTCTGGTGAGTGCAAACGCCATGTAGCAAAAACCTCTCCAAAATAAATAAATAAAGTTCATTGTGGCCACCAGGTGGTATGGAGGTTAAGGAACTGGATCCCACACGGCCAACTCCATGGTTAGAGTCTCAGGTCCGGTGGCTTGAAAAACACACCAGGCATGTGGTACATGTGTGCCCAAAATCCCAAGAAGACAATGGAGTAGAGGAGATCATGGCATGGCCATCCCCACTTGGAGGTAACTTCTCACTTTCCCTCTCTCTACCTACCTCTCTAAGGTGAGTGCACACACCCTATGGCAAAAATGAAAATAAATAAATAAGAGTTAACTTTTTTTGTTCTGGTTAATTTTAGATCCAAAATTAAAGACCAAATTCCTTCCCAGTGACTTTAAAAATAAATAAGAACACAAGGCAGATTTGCATCCTACTGTCCTGGTTGTGAATACAAAAGATGTTTTGCAATATTCGCTGAGGCCTATGGGACAAAACCAGAACCCCATTCTGAGGGCAGCCACATATGCTTCTCGACCAGCAGCCTAGCTTGTTCTACTTGCCTGCCCAGTTACCACTTAAACCGTCATAGGCTAGATGATGTTTAATTAATTTTATTATCTAGGACAGGCAGACATTACTCACTGTTTCAATCTGTGGCTGGAGCTGTGACAAAACCATTAACTGTCTGCCTCCAGGACTGTTAGAAGCAATGTCAAGCCCTAGTAGAAAGATCTTACTGGCATTTGCCATCAAAGTCATCAATCTCCCGCACTTAGTGACCCTGAACTGTATACCCACCTACAACTGTAGCCCAATCCAGGAAATTAGGTCTCACTTCTATCATGGGGAATCCGGAGAGCACAGTATCAAGCTGATCTGCCTTGGCGCCCTTAAAGCTCACTTCTGGTGACTGCACTGTTGTCTCCTCCTAGAACTGAGTCTCCGTGCGACACATTAGTTTTGGCAACTCAATCCCTATCTTCAAAAGCTGTCCGGGGACCAGAGTTAGCGTAATGGCTATGTCGCTGAACTCTCATGTAGCTGACGGCGGTTCAAGTCCCAGACCTGGTGGCTTAAACTCACACTGGACACATGTGCGTGCGTGCGTGCCCAAGATCCTGAGAGGAGAATGGAGGAGAAGGGATTGTGGCATGGCCATCCCCCCTGGGAGGGGGTGATTTCTTGCTTTCTATCTCTCTGTCTCTCTCTGTCTTTCTGGCAAGCGCATGCGCC